GGGCAGTGTTGTCCTAGCTGGTCTCCCTGCCACTGGTCTGATGTTTCTTAGTTTTTAAAGTCAAGTTTATTGAAGTATAATTTAACTATAGTAAATATCAGCATCTTTAGGTGTACAATTCAATGCATTTTGACAAACGGCCATGTAATCACCACCACAAACAAGATGAGATATTCCCATCAACCTCAAAATTCTCTCTTGCCTCCTTGTGCCCCTTTGCTGTCAATCCTCGTCCCCTATTGCCGGGCCTTGGCGACCACTAATCTGATTTCTGGTCCCATAGTTTTGCCTTTTCCATGATGTCATATCAATAAAATCACACAGGAAGCAGCTTTCTGAGCCTAGCTTCTTCCACTTAGCATAGTGCTCTTGAGGTTCACTCACGTTGCTGCATGTATCAGCAGTGGTTTCTTCTTTATTGTTGAGTGGTATTCCACCGCATGTATGTACCGCAATTTGTTGGCTCGTTCACCAGATGATGAACCTTTGGGTTGTTTACAGTTTTAGGCTGTAATGAATAATGTCACTATGAACGTTCATTGAGGGGACATACGTTTTCATTTCTCTAGGGTACGGAACTAGGAGGATACTTACTGGGTCATACGGCAAGTTTATGGTGTCCTTTTTAGGAAAATGCCAAACTGTTTGCAACGTGGTTGTTCCATTTTACACTCCCAGCAGCAAAGTGTGAGGATTACACAGTTTCTCCACATCCTTGTTAACACTTGTATTGATCTGTCTTTTTGAGTATAGCCATGCTAGAGGATATGATGTGGTATTGCATTGTGGTTGTATTTTGCATTTTCCTACTGGAATTGGGCATCTTTTTAATGTGCTAGTTAGTCATTTATACACCCTCTTTGGTAAAACGTCTCATCAAATCTCTTTCCTATTTTTAAATTGGTCTGTTTGTCTTCTTATTCTGTTGGATGGGTTCCTTACATACTTTGAATACAAGTCTTTCATGAGATATCAAAGCCAAAAAACCAAACCCACTGCCACCAAGTCGATTTCTACTCATAGCTGCTCCATAGGGTTTCCAAGGCTGTAAATATCTATAGAAGCAGACGGCCATATCTTTCTCCCACGGAGCCGCTGGGGGTTCTGAACAGCCTACCTTTTGGTTAGCAGTTGATCGCTTTAACCACTGCGCCACCAGGGCTCATTGCTCCATCAGATACGTAAATTGTAAGTATTTTATCCTAATCTGTGTCATGTCTTCTTAAATTTTTTAAATGTTGTGTTTTGAAGCGCAGATATTTTAATTTCGATGAGGCCCAATGTATTGATTATTTTATGTATCATGCTTTTGTTGTCATGTCTAAGAACTCTTAGCCTGACCTCAGGTCCCCAAGTTTTCACCTATGGTTTCTTCTAAACTCTTTATGGTTTTAACTCTTATTTAGGTATATGACCCATTTTAGCTAATTTTTGTGTATGAGGTGAGGTAAGGGCCTCAATTAATCCTTTTGCATATGGACGTCCAGCTGTCCCAGCCATCTGTTGAAAAGCTTTTCCTTTCCCCAGTGCTTATGTACCTTTGTCAAAAACCTATTGACCATAAGTGTGAGAGTTTATTTCTGGAAGCTCTATTTTGTTCCATTGATTTATATGTCTTTCCCTTCCGATGTCTTAATCACTGTAACTGTATGGTAAGTTATCAAATCAGGTAGTGTGAATCTCCTAACTTTGCAATTCTTTTTCAGTCCAGTGTTTCTCAAGGTGTGGTTGGTCCACGTGTCAAAACAGCTTGAAGTTTCTCCAGATTCACTGAAACAAACCCTGCGGGTGGAGGCTGGGGACCTGTCATTTCACACACAGCCTGTGAATCTTAGGGGCTTCAAGGTTCCAGAATAAACACTCCAGAATCCTGCTGAGGGGTGCCTCTCTCCTAGCTCCTGATGACAGCCTGCGATTCTTGGCATTTCTTACCTGGTGGACCCTTTACTCTAATCTCATGCCATTCTTCACGTTTGTGCTGGTCATTATCTCTTTGCTCTCAGAACCTTTTCCTGCTTTTCTCCTGCTATACTCAATCACCTAGGGGCGAACTCTTACAAAAGATACTTCCCTGGATCTCTACCAATCGGCCATGGGAAGCCTTGGCAGGAGACTAGAGGAGGGGGTTCTGGCCGGAGAACGGAGGGCAAGGCCAGTGGGGAAGCCAGACTATTCTTCCCTCTGTCTTCACTGCAGGGGCAATGGCAGCGGTGGCTGCATCTCCCCTGGGGTTCCAGCTCTCACAAGCAGCCCCTCTGTGGTCTCAGCCCCTGGGCTCCGGGCACTCCTCCACTTCCCTTTTTCCCTCCAACCCTCGCGTGGGAGAGGCTCCTTGCTGCTAATCTCCAGGTGGTTTGACCATCACCTTGGATAGTCAGCTCTTCCAATGCCTTTGCAACTCCTTCCCCATATTAAAACCACCTGACCGTGGGCTCTTAATCATTATATCCTGACTAATACAATATCGCTGACAGACACGATGTCTTAAATCATCTTGTTGTGTCTCTCTATTGCAATAGTCATTCATGTTTAAATCCTTGTTTCAGCCTCCAAGAGCTCTCAATAAACCAATTCTAGATAAGATGATACATTATCATTTTGTACAATTCCCCTACTGTCAATATTCTTATCGTTAGTGTAACTCATGTCCCATCCACTGGGTTGCTGAATACAGTCATGCATCACTTAACGTCCATGATACGTTTTTGTGAAATAGAACGTTACGTGATTTGGACGCTGTGCAAACACCACATCATATATGTAGGTTATCGAAGGTTTCGACAAATTCTCCTGCTGCCTTCGCATCAGCACTCACCACTCACTTTCCTATTGTGCAGCGAACAAGGCTTTTTCAAGGGCTTGAACCACCCAGAGCTAGCACTAAACTTGGTATCGTAGTGCGGTCCTGCTTTCTCTTTAAGCATCTGGAACAAGCTTCATGCCTTAGCGGTGATCATCAACGTGCTGAGAGGGATTCGCTCTTGTGTGTGGTCCTCAATCCATGTCCTCAGCAATGTCTCCATATCTAATACAGGTCCTCTCGCATTTTCATTAGCCTTGTAGCTTTCAGTGGAGCCAACCCTTTAACACCTTGGAGACCTTTTTCTTTGTTTTTGAGGATAGTCGTGACTGTGCAATACTCCTAAATTGCAAGCAAGAGATTCACTGATTTTCCACCTTCGTGTTGTTTAATAACCTTTTGTTTCACCTCCAAATCGATGCTTCTCCTTTGCTTCTTGCTGCTGCTATCGCTAGCACTGGTTTTGCTGCGACTGGGAGCCACCATGCACTCACGGCCATCTTATAACCTAATGGGACCACGATGTACATGCGGTCACACGTTGCCCAGACGGATGTTGTATACACTTGTTCTCCTCTTCTAGATTGTGAATTCGTTCAGTGAGGGCAGGGGTCACAAGCTACTTATGGCCTTTATCCTCAGAGAGCACTTCATGCCCTGCACATGCGAACTCTATCACACAACCAGGGACTGCCGCTCGGCAGAGGGGACCGTATTAGTCCCCTGTGGTTGCCGTAACCAAATACCGCGAACTCAATGGCTTACAACAGCAGACATTTCTTCTCATAGTTCTGGAGGCCAGAAGTTCTAAACCACGGTGTCAGGAGTGTTGACTCCTCCTGAGGGGTGCCTCTCTCCTAGCTCCTGATGACAGCCTGCGATTCTTGGCATTTCTTACCTGGGGGACCCTTTACTCTAATCTCTGCCTCCACTTCACAAGGTGTCCTCCTCACGTGCCTCTCCGTGTTCCTTCTCTCCTATAAGGGCACCAGCCAGATTGGATTAGGGCCCACCTCACTCCGGTATGACCTCATGTTATATCCGCAAAGACCCTGTTTCCAAACAAGGTCACAGTCACAGGTACAGGGGTTAGGACTTCAACATATTTTTTTTGGAGGACACAATTCAATCCTTAACAGCGGTGTTTGGTGGTGACCACGTAAGACTTGTCAAGGTGTGTCCCACACAGGGGAAAGGTCATTTTCAGATGGGATCTCAGTCAGCCAGCGGCTCTTCCTACAGGAAGAGGCTGTTCTAAATAGTCCCTCATCAGAGAACAAAGGATGCTGATGTTGGCAGAAACAGCACGCAGAGTTCAAGTGCTCAGAACACAATGCTATGAGTTTGCATGCGAAGTGAATGCAATGTGAGACTTCTTAGCTCTTCTTATTTTATTTCCCATCATCCACCCACTTAAACCTGCTGCCATGGAGTTGATTCCAACTCATAGCAACCTACACACATACACGCACACACTTTTTTTCCTCTCTTCTCTGCCTAGAATATACTATTTACCCCTAAAAATTAGGTCTGTGTATTTTTTGCTCAGAGAAACTTTCTGTGGCCCCCCCATACAGAATTAACAGTTCCTTCTTCTGACCTCCTAAAAGAATGTGGATATACTTCTAGTGGACACGTAGCACGTTGAATGTAATTAGCTGTTTGTGAGTCCCTCTCCCTCTCTAGATGGTTGGCTTTGCCAGCTTAGGACCATGTTATGCATCCTTCCAGCGTAAGAGCCCACCCAAAGACTTGTTCAGAGAACACTTAGCACATGCTTAGCATACACACAATGCCTACTTAACACACACTCAACTCGCTTGTTGAGCAAATGAATGAATCTCTTTCAGTATGATATATTTTCATACAGAGATGTGGTGAAAAAAAATTGATCCTGAAAACGTGAACTTAGTTCTGTGCTGATTATTATTGCATTTTATAGAAGTGTGATATGAACCAAGTTACAATAACCCATTTCAATTCATCTTTTGAACCAACTATTTCCATTTCCCAACTATTTGCAGTTTTTTCTATTGTTTTCATTAATCGTGTGAAATTCCCTCACTTTTTAACATATACATGTCATGATATTTGCCCTCCAAATTTTATTTATTTATTTATTTCTGTTTTGAGAAGTGGCATGGAGTTCTTTAACTTGGAAGGAGACAAAAAGGTTACATTTAATGGAAGGCAGAGGTAAAAAAATATGGAACACTTCACAGATTTGCATGTCATCCTTGTTCAGGGACGGTGTTAATCTTCTCTGTATCATTCCAATTTTAGTATGCGTGCTGCCAAAGTGAGCACTCCAAATTTTATTTTGAGGAAAATATTTTTTCTAAACCTTTATGTGATCTTATAAAATGCTTTTCATTAGAAATGCTATATTCTAGAAAACTCTTCCTTATGGTTACAATAAAAATAACCCTGAATAATGTTCTCAGGCTTGTCGCTCTACAGTCCCACTTAACTGCCTCTATAGTTTGCTGTTATCCACAGCAATACCCCCAAGGGGTCTTCTTGAGGGTCAGCTAAACCTTCAGACTCACAAGATTATCATAAACCATACTTGTCGGTCAATCTGGAGCCCTGGTGGCGCAGTGGTTAACAGCTCAGCTGCTAACCAAAAGGTCAGCAGTCCGAATCTACCAGGCGCTCCTTGGAAACCCTATGGGGCAGTTCTACTCTGTCCTATAGGGTCGCTATGAGTCAGAATCCACTTGACAGCAACAGGTTGTTTTTGACTTGCCGTCAATCTACTCAGAAGGGCATGGGATGGGGCCAGCACAGTAGCAGCAAGCATTCTTTTTACTGGGAGTTCTTGCCGAAGTCCTCCATACAGCAAGAAGATAAAACCCACAGTGGGCATGTGTGGTATGTTCCCGGGCTTAAAAGCCTCTATATTAGTTTCCTAGGGTTTCTCCGGAGCCTTGGTGGTGCAGTGGGTAAGAGCTCAGCTGCGAACCTAAAGGTTGGCAGTTTGAAAGTTTGAATCCACCAGGTGCTCCTTGGACACCCAATGGGGAAGTTCTACTCTGTCCTATACGGTCGCTATGAGTTGGAATCAACTCGATGGCAAAGGGTTTTTTTTTTTTTTTTTAAGTTGGGGCCTCTGTAACAAAGTTGTACAAAGTGGGTGGCTAAAAACAACAGAAACTTATTGTCCTGCAGCTCTGAAGGCTAGAAATCCAAAATCCAGGTGTCTACAGGGCCATGCTCTCTCTGAAGGCTCTAGGGGAAGATCCTTCCTTGCTTCTTCCTAGCCTCTGGGGGTCCTGGTGATTCTCAGTGTTCCCTGGCTTGGAGATGCACCTCTCAGTCCCTGTCTTCATGACTACCTCCCTCTGTCTGCTCTGCCCTCTGACAATGACCCGCTCACACAGAATTAGGACCCACCCTACGCCAGTATGACCTCCTGCTGACTTAACTGAAAACATCTTCAAAGACTCTATTTCCAAACGAAGTCATGTTCACAGGTATCAGAGGTTAGGATGTCAACACATAATTTGGAGGACACATTTAAACACATAGCACCTCATACCCCAAATGAGCACTGGTACATCTTGTAACAAGTCCCAAGGATTAACTCCCAGAGTCTTCCTCACGAGAGTCACCACACTCAGGGAAGCCCAGTCAGGGCGCTTTAATTGGTTTCACTTATAGTTCCTCTGGAGCCCTGGCGGCACAGTGGTTAAGTGCTCGTCTGCTAACTGAAAGGTCAGCAGTTCAAACCCACCAGCCGCTCCACAGCAGAAAGACGTGGGAGTCTGCTTCCGTAAAGATTTGGAAATTCTATGGGGCAGTTCTACTCTGTCTTACAGGGTCGCTACGAGTCAGAATCAACTCGATGGCAACGAGTTTTTGGTTTTTATAGTTCCTCCGTGTTAGAATGTGTTACCCACCTGGAGTCATTTTTAACATAACAAAGTCTGCCTAGGAACATCGTTGACATTTCAGTCTTACTAAGTACCTGGAGGACAGAGCCGGGAAGCTAACCGAGGTCGAATTCTCACACAGAAGGGGAGAGTCTTTGGTTGGTTAACCCTTGCAAACACCCGTATAACATAAAAGCCAAATTTCTTAGCACAGTCACATGGCAGGGGGACTTTTCAGACGCGTTCCCCACCCCCACCCCCGTCTTAAACTTCGGTCCCATCCAATGTCTTACATTTTATGGAAACATAGTGCACTCTCACACTGCCCCAGCTTTTCATCCCAGATGTTTCATCCCTTCCCCTGTCCATTCTGACCCTCTTTCTTTTCCACTTGGCCATCTTTCACTCCCTTGGGAAGGTCAAGGCCACCCACAGCCACTTCTATTACCTGTTTCCCTGACAGGACTCCCTGCTCCAGGCAGATTTAGTGATTCTCCCCTCTCTGGCCCCATAACATTTTAGTCACACCATTATTAAAATGAAAGAGACAGACTTCATCACCTTGAACTTCAGTGAACTCTACTTGTGTCTTCAGCAAGGCTGGTCGTTCCCAGGCCCAGTGCCTAGCAGAGGGCGGGCAGGTGGTAGACACCCCATAATAGGGCTGAGAGCTGCATGAAATTATAAGGATTCACACAGCAGATCTCCTAGAAAATTTAAAGGTGAAAAGTCTGAGTTTATTGTGCTTTATAAAGGTTTATAATAATAGCAAACATTTCTGAGCGCTTAATTTATGGTCACAGTTTACATCTTTTCAGTTAATCCTCACAACAGCCCTATGGAGTAAACACTGTTATTAGACCCAAGCTCTACAGGGTCTACTTGGCTGTAGACTTTACGGAAGCAGATCTCCAGGCCTTTCTTCAGCAGCACTGCTGGGTAGGTTTGAACCTCCAACCTTTTGGTTAATAGTTTAGCACAAACTGTCTGTGCCACCCAAGAACCTTTTCTAGACCCATTTAGCTGATGGGAAAACTGAGGTTTAGAGATGTTGGGTGACATGCTCATGATCACACAGAGATACAGCTGGGATTCAAACCTAGACAGGCTGGCTATAGAACCGGACTCAAATCTCTAGTTTACACACGTCTCTTACGGAGTGGAGGATGCAATGGGAGGAGCAAGGCAAGCTGAGGGCTGCAGGGATTCTTTATTCTGGATTTCTGAGAAGGTCAAAGAGTTTAGGCTGCTCTCCCTGTAGCTTTCCTCCCCAGCGTCCATGGAGAACCATTTCAAGGTCATCTTAAATGTCACCATGTATGGGCCCACTGAAACAATTGATACATTAAGTAAAATAATCCATTAGCTGTCTTACCTGGGGACTCTGTAGAGGTTATTTTTAAACAGTAGTTAAGTACACTGTGGCATTTTAACTTTGGCCTCAAAGATGGTTATGGCAATTTGGTTCATCCCAATGGGAGTTCACTATTTTTAGGCAGCAGATCGCTAAGTGGTTCTGTACACAAAGAAACCAAGAAAGGAATGAAGCTCAGAGTGGCAGGGAGAGATTTTTCCCAGTGGTCAGTGTCTGCATCATGAGGCTGCGACTTTACAGATTATTATGTTCATACAAAAATCTCCAACATACAAGTGTGTCTGTATGGCATTTGCATGGTATAAGAGAGACATCATTATCACTTGAAGAGATTGTCCAACAGTCTCTATCAAAGACAAAACTGTAATATTTGACTCTTTACCTTTGATGTTTTTTAATCATACAAGTTATGTTTTGTTCATATTTATATCCATTAGGTTATAAAGCTTAAAATAAAAATACTTTAAATGATCTGCTAGACTGCATTGTCTGTTGAAGCGGCATCAGTGAACTCGTCAGTATTAACAAGGATACCCAAACAGGATGGTAGAATCCCACCTACTCCTTAACCGAGACTCTCCCAGAAGATTCCTTTTTTTTTTTCTTGAAGCATAAGTGGTTTAATTTTATTTAAATGGTTTTTTTTAATTGGTGTTCTTAGGAAGCAGCAAATGAAAAAGTCTTACATCTATCTGTTCATTCATTCAAGCATTTGTAGTTCCTTCTGTTGAGCTTCCTTCTGGCGAACAGGCTGTGACCATCTTTTCTGCAGTTTTGACTATAATGTTATTTTCTCACTGGCCTTAAAAACCGACTCTAATGAAGAAAACTAAAGACGCAAGGGAAAGATTAGTCCAAAGGACTCATGGACCACAACTACCATGGCCTCCACCAGACTGAGTCCAGTACAACCAGATGGTGCCCGGCTACCACCACTGACTGCTCTGACGGGGACCACAAAAGAGGTTCCCAGACAGAGCTGGAGAAAAATGTAGAACAAAATTCTAACTCACAAAAAAAGACCAGACTTACTGGCCTGACAGAGACTGGAGAAATCCTGGGAGTATGGCCACTAGGCACCTTTTTAGCTCAGTAATGAAGTCCCTCCTGAGGTTCACTCTTCAGCCAAAGATCCGACAGGCCCATAAAACAAAACAAGACTATACGGGCACAACAGCCCAGGGACAAAGACTAGAAAGCAGGAAGGGACCGGAAAGTTGATAATGGGGAACCCAAGGTCGAGAAGGGAAGAGTGTTGACATGTTGTGGGGTTGCTAACCAATGTCACAAAACGATATGTGTACTAACTGTTTTAAAAAAAACAAAAACAGCTCTAGACATAGGAAATTTGTATTCCAACACCTTGGTATAATAATATGCAGAGAGGGAAGAAGGTAGGGAGGTCATTAGTCAAGTAAAATGTAGGATTCTGAAATATTCTCCTTTCTTGCCACCTACAAACCTGACAATCCCGACTTCTGTCTAAAAGTTTCACTTTCAGGGCTGTGAAGGCAAAGGCCTCTTCTGGTCCTGCCTGTTGCCAGGGAGACTTCAGGTGTCGGGACGAAGGCAGCAGGTGCTGGCCACAGCTAGGGCAGACAGCAGATGGAAGCTCTTGTAATTGTTAGAAGGCTCTGCGGTCTTTGGGTAAGGATAAATGCTTGGGGAGTTGCTTAGCTTCCCATCCATCCATCTGTCCATCCGTCCTTCCAACCATTTCTCTATCTCATTTGAGGTTATTGCTAACATGAATGTATCTGAGGCAGAGCAACCTTTCTGGTGTGTTTTCACTTGAGTTTTAGGGTGACTTCTGGTCTTTGGGACCTGTGGTTTACGCTGAAGCTGGCGATGACCATGCGGCCATGGAGAGAAGGGGGCGTATATGAGCTGTATCTGTATGACCTTCCATCTTGTTACTTATGGCTGATCACACTGCCCACGGAAGCCCTACGGACTCAATTTTTTTTTTTAATTGTTGTTGCTTTTATTTTATAGATAATTTGAATTTTGGCTTAGTTGCAGGTTAAACTATAATATATTAAAGCTTAAAGAGAAAT